CCTAACCCTAACCCTAACCCTAACCCTAACCCTAACCCTAACCCTAACCCTAACCCTAACCCTAACCCTAACCCTAACCCTAACCCTAACCCTAACCCTAACCCTAACCCTAACCCTAACCCTAACCCTAACCCTAACCCTAACCCTAACCCTAACCCTAACCCTAACCCTAACCCTAACCCTAACCCTAACCCTAACCCTAACCCTAACCCTAACCCTAACCCTAACCCTAACCCTAACCCTAACCCTAACCCTAACCCTAACCCTAACCCTAACCCTAACCCTAACCCTAACCCTAACCCTAACCCTAACCCTAACCCTAACCCTAACCCTAACCCTAACCCTAACCCTAACCCTAACCCTAACCCTAACCCTAACCCTAACCCTAACCCTAACCCTAACCCTAACCCTAACCCTAACCCTAACCCTAACCCTAACCCTAACCCTATAACCTAACCCTAACCCACCCGAGCCCCGCCGACCAGGCACGGCCCGACGAGAACCCGCCGGGAAGGAGCTGGCCGAGCCATCGCCGGCCTCCCTGCCGGCTCATGGGCGCTCAAAAGGTCGCTCACCCGCCCGTCGCTTGCCGCCCCTCTCCCAGCCCTTGCCGGCGCTTTTGCACGAACCTAGGGCTCCTGTCTCCCCCCCGTCTCCCCCTCCTGTCCTCTTGTAGTGGATATGAGTTGTGGGCGTGGGTCGCCGGCTTTCGCCAGCCTTTGCAGGCATCCTAAGTTCGGCGGCTCAGCCTCCTCTGTGCCAGGGGTCGCGCGGGGCGCAGCACGCCCTGTGTCGTCTGCGCGAGATCCTAGTGGTCCCTGGTTCTATGATGTATCTTATTCCGGGGCCCGTGTGCGGGGAGCGAACCTTAGCGACCGCCCAGAAGCTTTCTGAGCGACCCAATCGGGCCGGGATCATCAGCATATGTCCCCTCCACAACATCGTGGGCGTTTGAGCGGTATTTGAGGACCACCGCCACTCTGAAGTTCGGCCGGGTGGCTGCAGACCCCCCTCCCGCGCCCGGAGCAGCAGAGGCTCCGTGGGGTTGAAAAGTCGACGCTGGGAGTCGCACTCGTCAAACCGTCGCAACACCACGCGGTCCGCACGTACCGCCCACATCCCCTCCACCACTGAGAAGGCGCAGATCGACCGCCGGGCCGCGTAGCCGTCGTTAAGGAGCGGTTTTTGGAGCCGTACGAAGAGGTCCCAGACGGGCGAAGATGCGGTTTTTCGACGACCACACGCGATGTGGTATCTGCTTTTTGCTAAAAACGGGCCGCCTAGTGCAGCATCACTAGTACAACACGCAACCACACTGAGAGCTCCACACTAGCCGGTATAGGCGAGCCCCGGCGGCCTCACCGTCGCCGCTCGCGGCGGAGCCGACGGCGGAGCCACGGGCCGGTGCGACCTTTTGGGGGGACATGAGCTCGCCAGGACGTCACCGATGGCTCGGCGCGCCTCTTCCCGCCAGCGCGGGACGGCCTGCCTACAGGAGGGGGGGGGGGAGACGGAACTGAGCCCTAGGTTCGTGCAAAAGCGCCGGCAAGGGCTGGGAGAGGGGCGGCAAGCGACGGGCGGGTGAGCGACCTTTTGAGCGCCCATGAGCCGGCAGGGAGGCCGGCGATGGCTCGGCCAGCTCCTTCCCGGCGGGTTCTCGTCGGGCCGTGCCTGGTCGGCGGGGCTCGGGTGAGGTGAGCGGGCCCGGGAGTCGCATCTGCGCGTCCCCGGCAGTGGCAGTGTGGGGGTAGATGGGAAGTGCGGAGATGGGAGGCAACGCGCCTGTTTGATGGCCGCACGAGGCAAAGTTGGGCGCTCCGAGCGTCTTCTCGGCGAGAACGAACGAGCTGTGCATCGTCGGGGGGGTGACTGAGAGGGAGGTGGTCGTGTGCCTACTTTGTCGGCCGCGCGCGAGGTGAAAACTGAGTGTGAGGCGCGCAGGAGGCGAGGATGGGCGCGCCGGCGGTCGAGCCGCCGAACAATTCGACGTCGCGCAGCTCCGCGCCGGCGGGCACGACCGAGCAGATGCTGTCGGCGGCGGTCACGCGACGAGGGAGAGCCGCAGGAGCCCTCTGAGAGCCAGGCGCGCGAAAGCAGCGATGAGTGGCGCCGCGATCAGCCACCTGTGGGCGGTCACCGGGGTTGCGGTCAAGCTCGCGACGGGGTAGATCTGGTGCGTCTCGTATCACTGGTGGGCTGGGTGTGCAGCAGCGGCGCTCAAAAAGAGGGAAAAAATGCGGCTGCTACTTTGACTGTCGACTCTCTCGACACACCGTCCTCGGCCCCGATGAAAAGCTGGCTGGTGGTCGCGCGCAGCGCGTCGGCGCCACTCCGACTCTGGTCGGGCACCTCGGCTGGGTCCGTCAGCACGAGGCCCGCCCCGTCGGGCAGCCCCGCGAGCGCATGGGCGGCCGGCGCGAGCGGAGATCGGCTCGCCTCGATCCGCAGCTTTGCCGCGAAAAACACAAAGCGCCGAGGGGGGGGTGGAGCCTCGGTACCCTAGAATGTGTACGCCAACACACAGGGTGTGTGGCAGCCAGCTGGCTGTGTGTCTTGTGAGCTTGTTTGTGTCTGTGTGTCGTTCGTGCGTGTCGTCATCATCTGTCTCGCGTCCACCCATACCGCGTTGGTGTCCAGTCCGAGCCTGGCTGTTCTTCACCTTTCTACCTACCTACCTTGGCCTATAAAATAAAGTAATTAGTATACTCGTGCAACAACCCATGTATGTATCCCGCTGAAGCTACTTTAACGCAAATTCGAAATCGTCCACACTCCAGGGATCACACTAGTGTGGCAGGACAGCGCATGCGACCACCCCACATCGCAAAAATCTGGGGTCCAACCATCCGAAAGATCTCAATCGGCCGAACGCGAACGATGAAATCGCCCTCGACCAGCCCCCGGCCCCGCGCCTCAACAGAGGACGCACGTTCTCTCGCCGCATCCAAGGCCGCGCGCGAATACCCACCCCTTCCCTCACCCGTCCTTTGGCACCTGCACGACCGTGTAGCCCTTCAGGGCCGGGTCGGTCGCGCGAGAGTACAGCACGCGGGCGGCGAGGCCGACGCCGCAAGCGAGCATCGGCAGCGCGACGCCGCGGTTGATCACGACGCCGGAGGAGAGGCGCGCCTGCGCCTCGGCCTGCAGCCGCTCCGCCTCCTCGCGCATCGCCTCGGCGTAGGCGAGCTTCTCTCGCAGCGCGGAGAGCTCGGTCGTCTTGACGCCGATCTCCGACTGCACCGCCCGCATCTCGGCCAGCGCGCGGTCTCGCTCGGCGTCGCCCTCCGACCTGGAGGCGGAGGTCTCGGCCTTGGCCGCGCGCACCTACGGGACGTGTCATGGACGTGTCGAGGGCATGCCCTGCACATAAACGCCTGTTCCCCGCGGCGCCTTCTTGAGGGGGCGCGCTAGATTCATGTCTCGGGTATATCTCGTGCATGTATCTCGGGTGTATCCCAAACACCTTCTTGAGAAGAGCGCGCTGCTTGCGCGAGGACTTGCTCAGCGTCTCGGACAGCTCCTTGGCCCTCTCCTCCGCCTCCTCGAGGCTCACCTTTGGGTCTAGCGAGAGCCGCTCCACCAGCGAGGCGCACGCCGACGAGCGGAAGGACGTTGGCTCCGCGTGCGCCTTGTGCGACAGGCACGGCCACAGCTCCGCGCCTGTTCACAGCTGGAGGGGTGACGTCGCTGTCCAGACTCACATCGCCACGCCGCCGCAGCTCCTCTCCCACGAGCTCCGAGTCGCCGTTGAGGTCGAGGCTGCTCTCCTCGAGCGGGCCAGGCGCGCCGCGCAACGCGGCGGCGCGGCGGGCGGCGTCGGGCGCGGCGCAGAGGCGGCCGATGTCGTCGTCGCACAAGTCGGTGATGGCGTGCCGCGGCGTGTAGCTGACAAAGGCGGAGCGCGCCGCTTGCCGGATCGCGCGCGCGCACGCCTTGTCGGCGATGGAGTATTCATTTGTTGGCCGACTGCTGAATGGATTGCCGGTTCGCGCTTGCGCGCACGCCTTCTGGCGCAATTCTCACTCTCATAGGTCGGCAATCTCTCGGCTACAGCTCTCGCCTTGTCGGTGAGGTTCCCCGACCCCTCGCCGTCGAGCAAGCAGCGGAGCACCGCACCCTCGCCCGGCGGGACGGTCGGGCAGACCTGCCCACACCACGTGGCGTGAAGAGACGCTGCTCACCGCACCCTCGCCGGGCAGGACGGTGGGGCAGACCCGCGGCAAGGTCGGCTCGCACGCCGCCTTGACCTGCGGGTGGAGCCGATAGTCCTGCAGCGCCAGCCTCATCGTCGCGCGCACCGCGGTTGCGCACGGCGCGCCAAAGTCGGACCCGCCTGTCGGACATGCCTCGGACATGTCATGGACATTCCGCGGACACGACACGCCAAAAGTCGGACCCGCCCAAGTGCAGCTCGAGGCAGCCCAGCGCGCCCTCCGGCTTGACCGAGGCGCAGTAGTGGTGCAGCTCCGCCTCGCACGCCTTCGAGACCTCGAAGTTGACGCGCACGTCCTCCGCCTCGGCGTGCACCTGATCTCGAGCAACCTCGCGTCGTCTCGGGCCAGTCTGGCGACGGCGAGCCTCCCCAAAGCGTGCGCCGTCTTGCGCAGCTGCGCCGCGCAGGAGGGCTGCAGCTTGGAGAGCTTCTCCTGTATAGCAGTGGCCAATGTCAAGACTCATCGAACTCTTCTGCTAACGGTGAGGGCTGCGGCTGGGAGAGCTTCTCCTTGAGGCACTTTAGCAGCCGCCCCTCGCCCGGCAGCACTCCTGACCAGCACGCGCACCGGCACTGAAGACTTCACAGTGAGGCATCCCGCCCTGGCCCGTCCGCACGCGTGCACTAGACACTTCCTAGACACTTCCTAGACGCTTCCTAGACACTTCCCGGCCGCACGCCTGCGCGCGTGCACTCGAAGAGGTCGCGGCCGCACTGGCTCTGCAGCATCGCGTCGAGCCTAGAGGGGTTGCGCGCGGAGGCTCCGACGAGGGTCCGGGCAGGGGCTGCTCTGCAGCATGGCGCGTCGAGCCGCGAGTCGCGCGACGCGCCCGCCATCAGGCCGAGGACGGCCGCCTTGCAGTCCTTGGAGCGCAGCTGCCCTCGCGAGTCCTTGAGGCACTGTATCGACGCGCCGGGGTGCTGCAGCGCTGAAGCGCTCGCGCAGAGGAGCTCGTAGTCCTCGCGGCAAACGGAGGAGACCTTGCCCATCAGCTCGACCGACTGGGCGGCGCGCTCCTTGAAGCCCTGCAGCACCCTGCTGCAAGTCGGCGCCAGCTTCGCCGCGCGCACCTCTCCCATCCGCTCGAGGCACGAGAGCTGCTGCCGCGAGTCGACGCCGCGGCACTGCGTGCGCAGCTCGACCGCGCACGCCTCGGACACCTCCGCGTTGAAGTCCATCTCGTTGTGCGCCATACGCTCGATGGACATCACCTTGGCGCGGCAGCCGCCCGTGAAGAGGGCGCGGTGCTCGCGCAGGCAGCGCAGCAATGCGTCGTCCTCCATGAGGTCGACGCCTGATCACAGCTGCGGGTGTGAACAACTCTCCACAGCGGCGCGTCCTCCTCCATGAGGTCGACGCCGTCGGGGGCGCCGCAGTAGGCTGTGAACTGGTCGCGGCACTCGGCGAGGAGGGGCGAGTTTGCGGTCGGGAAGTAGGCGAGCACGCGCAGCGAAGAGCGGACCTTGACCCGGCAAGCTTTTTAATTATTTAGTTAGTTAATTACTTAATGAAGAGCGGACCTTGACCCGGCGAACGCTTAATTAAACTGTTATTCATTAGTCAGGGTTTAATCAATTACGAGCGGACCTTGACCCGGCAAGCGCCCTCGGGAAGCTTCGCGTGCTTGGCCTGCAAGCACTGCATGAGCCCGGTGTAGCGCTTGGCCACCTAGGGTTAGGGTTAGGGTTAGGGTTAGGGTTAGGGTTAGCACTGCATGAGCCGAGTGTAGCGCTTGGCCACCGGCAGCGACTTGGAGGCGGCCGTCTCGTTTGGGCAGAGCTGGGCCGCCTACTCGGATGTGTCTCGGACGTGTCTCGGACATGTGTCGGACATGTCCTGGACACGCGGTCCCGTTCGTGTGGGCCGCCTCCTCGCGGCAGTGCGACAGCTGCCCTCCCAGCAGCATCAGCCGCGAGTCCGACATCTCTGTCCGCGTGAGAGAGGCCACCTGAAGGAATGCTCCCGGCCGGTCCGGGAGAGGCCCGGGACGGGTCCGGGAAGAGGCACCGCGGAAGGGACAGCCACCCTCGCGGCGCAAGCAGGCCGGAAACCAAGCGCACGGGAGTGGGAGCGCAAACAGTCGAGCGTGCCTACACGCCCACGACGTAGCCGAGGTGCAGCCGAGATGTAGCCAAAGTGCATACCGAGGTATAGCCGAAATGGATGAGTGAGCAAAGCGCGCCACGAGACGTGTCCGAGGCGTTGCCCGCCGAAGCGTTCGACAGCGGCGCGGGCCAAGAGTGCAACCCGCGCCCCTTCGCTGCTGCCTTGCAGAAGAGGGACACCTACAGGAAGGGTCCAAGAACGGTCCGGGAGAGGTCTCGGAAGAGGCATCGCCGAGCCGCGGAAAGAGGGAAGCCTCCACAGAACAGTCGCGGCGCAAACCAAAGGAGGTGGAGGGGTCGGCGAGCTCCGCAGCCATCTGGGAGAGGACTTGCTCGGCGCACTGCGGCGCCAGGTGCGCCCGCGTGCGCGCCACCCGCTCCAGGCAGTCGAGGACCCGCCCGCCGCCCGGCTGCACCTGCTCACAGCTAGGCGCGTGAAGAAGCGATGGCCACAGTCGAGGACCCGCCCCGCCGCCCGGCTGCACCGCCGCGCAATGCTTCGAGATGTCGGCGGAGCAAGCGGCGGCGAGGGGCGCGTTTGCGAGCGCGTTCTCGCTCACGGCGAGCGCGTAGCCGTGCACCCGCTCCTTGCAGAGCGGCGAGCCTATGGGACGTGTCTCGGACATGTCTCGGACATGCCCTCGACACGAGCCGCGCCCCTGGCAGAGCGGCGGGCCGATCGCGGACATGTTGCGGCGAAGGCAGGTGAGGCGAGGGGCTACTTGGGCGCCGACCACGACGGCAGTCGAGTTGGAGAGCGGCGCCTAATCTCGGCGAACCTCGGGTGATCTCGGGGAGGCTGGCGTCGGTCGAATCGGAGAGCGGAGATACGTCTGAGGCGCCGGTGCCGCCGCTCGCGCGCCCCGACGCCTGCGCGCCCGCCGCCGCGTTGATCTGGCGTGTCGCCGCGGCGACCTGTCCCGGGAGAAGCCCGTGGTGAATGAACAAGTCAGAGACGGCCCACTCAGCAGTTTGGCTTGAGCTAGGCTTCCAATGTGGCGCTACTAAAGACGGCATCTCTCCACGGCGGGCGCTCCAAGCCTTGCTACCACTCCATCCACCGCTTGTTGCGTCGCGCCGTGGCGTATCGTCACACCGTGTGCACTCCATCTGCCAAACCGTGCTGTGTTGCCACCCCCGTGCTGCCTAAACCTTGACAGTCCATGGTGCTGCGCCCTCGGCGCCACGTCTTGCTTCGCTGCCGTGAGATCACACAATGCCCACACCCCAAACGGCAAGCCATGCGCTGTGTCTTTAGGCTGCGACGCTACTTTGGAGTGACCTGCTCGCGCGAGAGGCCCGTCGCGATGAGCGCCTATTGCAGGAACTCCCCGAGAAAAGTCATGGAAAGTCCCGTGCCCGCAAGCCCGCCGCGGCGGCGCCTCGGAGTTAAGCCGCAGCACATCGCCGCACAGCAGCGCCAGATCCGCCGCGCAGACCGTGCGCAGCGCCACGAGCGTGTCGACCGACGCAGCGCGCTGTACAAAGTCCTTTGTCACGGCCGCCTCGCAGGCGCCGCTCATCGCCTGCGCACGAACCAGCGAGGGCTCGTCACTCGCGAGCTGCTGAGTGACGCCTCGCACGCGCCGCTCATCGCCGGCTCGAGCCGCTTCTCCTCGAGGCAGTGCAGCACCTCTCCCTCGCCGTGCGAGGAGACGCCGCCGCAGAGGGCGGCGTCGTGTAGCTCCGCAGCGCACGCGGCGACGATGGGCGCGTTGTAGTGCACGTCCCGGGCCTGGGTCCGCGCGAGCGACGCCACCTCGGCGGCGCAGCCCGCGCCGAGCACCGCGGTGCCGTTGGGCAGCCGCGCCTGCGACTTGAGGCACTCGAGCACGCGGCCTTGGCCCGGCGGGACGGAGCCGCACACGCCGCCCGGCAGCACGTGCGGCGCGCACGCCTCGTACAGGGGCGCGTTGAGCCGCACGTCGCTCGTCGCCGCCGCCGCGAGCTGGTGCACCTCGTGTGCGCACGGCTTGGCGGCCACCTCCGCCTCCTTCCGGATGAGGCACGCAATGACCGCCCCCTTGCCGAGCGGCGCGTCCGGGCAGAGGGCGACGATGTCGTCGGCGCACGCTGCGGTGAGAGTCGGGTCGAGCCGGAAGTCCGCCATGCGGCGCTGCTGGTGCTCGAGCAGCCTAGTCCATGGCTCCGCCAGGTGATCGAGTACAGGTCGGCGGTGCGGCGCTGCTGGCGATCGAGCAAGCCTCGCGGCGCAGCGGGGCGACGTGTCGCGGTGCGTGCGGTGGCGGAGGAGACAAGACAGGACCTGCGACGCCCCCGCGGGGAAGTCGGCGCAGAGCGAGGCTCGCTCCGCCGCGCACGCCTGCAGCAGCGGCGCGTGGGAGCGGTCAGGGGGAGGGGCAGGGGCGGAAGTAGGGGTGGGGAGCGAGTAGCACAGGCCTGCAGCAGCGGCGCGTGGAAGCGAACGTCGTCCGCGCGCTCGATCTCGGAGAGGGAGAGGTAGTGCGCGCACTCCTTGCCCATCGGCCGCTGCGGCGGGGCCGCGCCCACCTTCTCTCCCTCCGCCCGCGCCTCCTCCGGCCTCCCGGCGAGGTACCGGTACTGCGACCGCTGCAGGCAGGCGCGCCGCGCGCCTAGGGCACGGCTCACTAGCAACGCGTCAGTCAGAGGGCGGCGAGACCGCTGCACACCTCCTCGCGGCGCGCTGCCTCCGCCCGCGGCGACGAGGGAGCAGGGCGGCGCCGCCAGCTCCGCCGAGCAGGCGCGGTGCAGCTGCACGTCCAGCGTCAGGTTCCGCGCCTCCTCGAGCATCCTCCGCGTCACCGCGTCGCGGCAGTCGGCCTGCTCACAGCTCGCGGCGGTGAAGAGAGGGGCGGGTCCGGGAGGTCGCCGCCCCCGCGGCAGAAGGCCGGCAGGCGCGCGCGCACGGCGGGAGAGCGGAGGCAGCGCATCAAGCCGAGGCCGTCCGCCGCGCCGCCGTCCTCGTCGCGGCAGACGCCGCCGCGGATCGGCCCCTCGCAGGCTGCGGCGAGGCGCGGGTCGAGCAGCGGCTGGTGCAGCAGCACCGCGTGCAGCGTGGAGAGCGCACGGCCGCACGTCGGCGGGATGGCGTCGCCGAGCAGAGGCGCTGCGGGCGCGGCGCCGTTGGCGTCGGCAGAGCCAGAGGCGGCGAGGCGGAGCAAGCAGCCGAGGCTCTCCCTCACCGTCGCAAGAGGAGCAGGGGAGGCGACGCCTCCGCCACCCGCGCCGGAGCTGTTCGCCGCGGGAGCCGCGCCGTCCGCGCAGAGAGTCATCGCAGCCGCGGCGCAGTACCTCTCTGCCGACTGGATGGCGCGAGCCGCGTCTGCCGCTGTCGTGCCCGGCGGCCCTGCCGACTTGGCGGCGGCGGCGCCAGCTGCCAGCTTGGCCATGGACGCGTTGGAGACGGCGGCCGGCCTTTCGGGCTCGACTGCCTCCGCGTCGAGTGCGGCGAGTCGATCGGCGCTGGCGTCGGCCTCCAGGTCCTCCTTTGTGGGCGCAGGCCGAATAATGTCGAGGCCAAAGCGCTTGCCACCCTCCTCGGCAATATCCTCGACCGCCGCCGGCGCGGAGGCGTTGGTGATGGCGCTAGTCGCCGCAGTGGTGGCGTTCTGCGCCAGCGCACCGCCAGCGAGCGTCGCTAGCACCAGCGAGAGTGGTCGCATGCTACAGCGCCGCCTCAACACAGCACACACAAAATTCTTTTTTTGAGCTTAGCTTGCGTCCACCCATACCGCGTTGGTGTCCAGTCCGAGCCTGACTGTTCTTCACCTTACTACATACATACATACTTCGATGTTATGAAAACAAACGCAAGGAGGACACACACACATCGCTCTCGGGCCCACAGACATCCCGCACACCCGCCGCCCCCGCGCGCGCCCCACCCCGGCCGGGAGAAAGGGGAGTGACAGTTTGGGACGGCAACAAAAGAGTATCTTTTTTCGCGCGAGAAAAGATTTTTCCTCCCGAGAAAGAATTTTCCACATACTACAACGCACCCACCAGAATTTTCTTTCTTTCTCTTCTCTGTGCGAGGGAGTTTTGTTGTAAGATTCTTTCTTTCTTTCTCGCGCCAGCTGAGTAACAAACTTTCGCACGCTCAGCACCTCGATGAGGTCACATGGACCACCAAGAAACTGGCACGGGCTGCAGATGCAGCGCTTGTCTGTCGTTCTCCACACCGCCGTGGCGTGGCAGACGGTGAACGAGCTAGCGTGCGGGGACAGCGGCATTGTGCACGGAGCTAAGTGCATTGCCGTTCTTAACGGAGTCGCTTAGGCGGCTCCGGTGGTGTGCCGGTGATAGTACTAGCACGCGCCAGTTCGCACCTGTGTCGAGCCTGTCTGCTGTGAGAGAGAGTTGTTTTGTTTAAATTCTTTCTCGCGACACTTCAGCGCCTGGCGACAGCCCGACGCTGGTTTGGTCGTGGTCTGCCATCGCGCGACCGGGTGTCGTTGTGAGATTCTGCCACAATGTATGAGGAGGAGGACGAGCGCCCGCCGCCCGCACCGCCGGAGAGCGCAGAGGCCGCGCCGAGCGGCATCGACCTCGATGCGGCTGCGCTGCGAGCGACGATGGCCGCCACCGTGGAGCCGGGCGGCGCGGAAGATGTCGGCGACGCTGCCATTGGGACGCTCCAGCGGTGGCAGGCGTTCCGAGAGGCCTGGCGAGCCGGCGGCGCCGACGCGGCAGCGGTCTGCGCCGGCCTCGAGGCCGAGGTGGTCGGGTGGGCGGAGGGGCGGCTGCACGGAGAGGTCGGCGCCTTCCACCTCGCGCTGCACGAGAGCGGCGACTTGCTCGCGGCGGACGCGGCGCTGCGGCGGGCGAGGCGGCTGCTGGCGGCGGCGGCGGAGGCTGAGCTGGGCGAGCTGCCTCCCTTTGGCGAGATGCTGGACGCACTCGAGGGCCAACCATCCTCCGCCCCAGCTCCGCCCCGTCTGTCGGCTGTTGATAGATGAGGAGAAGAGTTTCTGGCTGCTAGGCCAGCTCCGCGGCCAGCTCCACCCGGTCGTAAAGCGCGCAAACAGGCACGAGCTGCGGCTTCTGTACGCCGACTTTCTCCTCCGGCCGGCGGCGGCGGGAGGAGGAGGAGGAGGAGGAGGCGGCGGCGGTGGTGGAGGCGAGGGCGGTGGGCGGGAGTGGGAGTCGCTCCGCTCCCTCTGCCTGGACAAGTACCGCGAGCAGATCGAGAAGGTGGTCATCTCGGACGGGGTGCGCACCTCTGCTGCCTCTCGCAGATTCCGCCACTGACGAGCGGCTCTGACATGTCACTCCGTCCTGGCGAGGTGCGCACCTCTGGCCAGCTCGAGGAGGTGCTCGCTGCGCGCACCGCTGGGCTGGGCGGCCGGCGGAGCGGAGCAGCGCCTTCCCTCGCCGAGGTCGAGCGGGAGGAGGTGCAGGGGCTGCCTGCCGTCACACTTCCCAGACATTTCCTAGACACTTCCTCGACACGTCCGTGCAGGTGCAGGGGCTGCCTGCCGTCGGGATCGTCAAGGCGTACCTCGAGGCGGTCGCTCTCGTTGCGGAGGAGCTTGGCGAGGAGCTTCCGACCTCGCAGGGCGAGGTTGCGACGCTGCCGAGCTCCTTCGTCGGCTAATTAGCTGTTAATTAGCTCTTAATTAGCTGTTAATTAGGTTGCGACGCTGCCGAGCTCCTTCGTCGGCGCCGCCCACGCGCAGCTCGAGGCGGAGGCGTGCAGCCAGCTGGTCGAGCCAATTAAGAGTTCGTTAACTAATTAAGAGTCAATTAAGAGTTACTTAAGGCGTGCAACCAGCTGGTCGAGCTGCTCGAGCTCGGCTTGCGACTGAGCGACGGCATCGACGAGGCCGCCGCCACGTGCGAGGAGGGCGGCGGCGGAGGCGGAGGGGCGCGTGACGCGTCGCTGCTCGCGTGGACATGTCCCGGAGATGTCGTGGACATGTCCCGTGTAGGCGGAGGGGCGCGTGACGCGTCGCTGCTCGCTCTCGAGCTGCGTCTCGAGGAAGCGTCGCAACTGCTCGAGGTGGTCCAGATGTTCACGGGCTTCTGCGACCACAACCTCGCGCCCCTGCTACCGCCCCCGCAAGCCGCTGAGCCAGCTGCTGCACCAGCAGCTGCACCGGCCGCCATGGGCGCTGCTGAACACGACGCAGCGGGCGGCGGCGCAGAGGGCAGCGGCGGCGGGGAGGGCGGCGGCGGCGGCGAGGGCGGCGGGGAGGGCGTGGGTGATGGGAGTGGCGGCGGCGGCGGCGGCAGCGGCGGAGCGGGCGGCAGCGGCGGAGCGGGCGGCAGCGGCGGAGCGGGCGGCAGCGGCGGAGCGGGCGGCAGCGGCGAGGGCGACGAGGGCGCCCTGTACGGCGAGGGGGGTCGGCTGCTGGGTGCAGGCAGGAGGAGGCTGCGCGAGTGCGCGAGGGGCGTGGCGGAGGCGCTTCGGGGCGGGGAGGGTGTGTACTTGGGCAGAGCAGTCGGCATCGCCTGCTCGGGCGATGAGCTCGAAGAAGAAGGGCTGGTCCTCGCTCTCGTCGACGGATCCTTCTTCGCCGCCCTCCGCGCCTTCACCCGCGCCACCCGCACCGCCCTCCCCGACGTCGCCGCCGCGCCCCTCGTGCCGCGCTTGTGCGAGGCACTGGAGCGAGGTCCCCTCGCCACCTTGCGGCTGCGCATGCGCAACGCCGGTGCGGCGGCCGCTGACAACGACTCCTTCCTCGCGGTGGCAAACTCGCTCTCGTGCGCCGGCAGCTACGCGCGCAGGCTTCGCGACGTCGTCACCAACGGATTGGGCGACGGGCACGCGGCGCCTCGTGCGCGCTGGTCGGTCGGCCGTCTGGACGCTCTCGCCTCGAGGCCTAGACACTTCCGAGACACTTCCGAGACACTTCCTCGCCTCGCGCGCGCTGGTCGGTTGGCCGGCTGGAGGCTCTCGCCTCGAGGCCCCGACGCGATGACCCGAGAGCGAGTGAGCCTTGCCGAGGTTCCGTCGCTTCACTTCGAGATCACGCGAGATGGTCCTCGCGGTCAGGTTCGACGAGGCTGCGGCGGACGCGATGCGCTCTCTCGGCGGCTCGCTCCTGCCCGCGGCGTGGCTGCTGCTCGAGTTCGACCCGGCGGACTACCGGCTGCTTCGGGCAGGCGAGGCGGCGGAGGCGACGGCGAGGGCTGTCTTCGAGAGGGGGGTGCTCCAGCCGCTCGCGGTCTCCTTCGCAGCGCTGCGCAGCTCCCTGCGCCCGGAGGCGCGAGCTCACCCGAGATGACCCGAGATGACCCGAGATGACCCGAGGTGACCCGAGATAGCTGCAGATCCCTACGCCCGGAGGCGCGAGCTGACCCGAGCTGACCCGAGATGACCCGAGATGACCCGAGATGACCCGAGATGACCCGAGATAGCTGCAGATCCCTACGCCCGCGATCGAGCTGCTCGTGCATGCCGTGGGGGGCTGGGTGTGGAAGACGCGCTCCCAATTCTCTTTCATCAGGCGCTGGAGCTGCTCGTGCATGCCGTGGGGGCGGCGCTGGGCGCGCGGCTCGAGGCGGGCGCTTTCGCGAAGCGGTGCGACGAGCTCAACAGCATCGCCCGGGCCCTTGCCCGGAGCCTTCTCGGAACCTTCCTTGCAGGTTCGACGAGCTCGGCGCGATGCTCTTCTCGGAGCAGGTCCGACTCTTAATTAAGAGTTAATTAACAGCTAATTAATTACGATGCTCTTCTCGGAGCAGGTCCGACGCCTATAATATAATATAATATAATATAATATAATCTCTTCTCGGAGCAGGTCCGACGCCTCTCGGACGCTCTCTCGGCCGTCTCTTCCGCGCCGGCGAGCGATCCCCCTCTGGTGGCGCTGCTGGCCTCCCTTCACAGCGCTGGCTGTGAACAGGTGCGCAACGACTTCGGCCGCGTGACCCAGCTGGCGTTCCTGCTCAACGCTAGCTCGGTCCAGGAGGCGGCGGGGCTGCTCCTCTCCCAGATGGCGCTCGATGGCGAGGGAGGAGGTTGGCGTGGCGAGGGGGCGGAGCAGCGCCACACTTCCGTGACACGCCCATGACACGTCCCTGGCGCTGTCCGCAGGGGGAGGCGAGGGGTCGAGCCGGCTGAGCACGCGCGAGGCGGGCCGCGTCAATCCGTTGATTTGCTGATTCGGTGTGGATTGATGAATTAGGCTGAGCACGCGCGAGGCGGGCCGCGCGCTCGCTCTGCGCGTCGAGTTTGACCGCAACGAGGGGACCCGAGGGTACCCGAGTTTTAAAAGGGCCCGAGGCGAAAAACCCCCAACCCGAGATTTTGCCGAGGCATGGGCAAGGGCCTTTTTTTTCCAACCCCTTTTTTTGAGCCCCCCCCCCCCCCCCCCCCTTCCCCCCCCCCCTCACCTGACCAGGTGAGCGAGCTGCTCGGCGTCGTCGTCGAGGACGAGGAGCTTGCGGAGCAGGCCGCGGCAGCAGCGGCGGCGGCGGCGGCAGCAGAGAGCAGCGGCGAGCCGGGCGGGTCTGCGCCGAGCCCCACGCCGGCCGCAGGGCTGGGCGCTGCCGCCGAAGGAGGCGCGGCGGGCGGGGAGGGGGGGGGCAGGTGCGCCGCCGCGCAGTTGGCCAAGAGCGCGGCGAGCGCTTCGGCGACGAGAGCGCTGGACGTGGGGCGCGGGCTGCTGAGCGTGGGGCGCGGGCTGCTGCGCGAGGCGGCGCTTGAGAACTGAGT